ATTTTCTTTACTTCCTATTTAATATGTTTCCGTCACTACTATATTTTTTGGCCAAAAAATAATTGCCTAATTTCCATGAAAAATAAATATAGGTACGTTTAAGATGTCCAGTGGAGTTACTAAACGTGATTAAGCTTGGGAACATGGAAACCCAATAGACGGAAACAAACATGACACAATTTGCAAATATTGTGGTCGGGTAATGAAGAGTGGTGGAGTGACACGACTTAAGTACCATCTTAGTGGATTAGATCCAGGAAATAATGTCCAACAATGCGATAATGTCCAACAATGCAATAATGTTCCCCCTATAAGTGAAGGCATTCATCACCACATTATTAAAACAGAAAAAACACCAGAAGGAAAAGAAAATACATGGAATGGAAAATATTTGAGCTGGGCTACGAGGAGAAGTCATTGGCCAAGCGGTTGACAGTGATGATGATGACGATGAGGACGAATGTGATGATGACATGGGACCTGAAGAACGACGCAGTTTCAAACAAGCATTACGTGCCTCCAAACAGTCAACATGGGAAAGAGAACACCTTCATAAAATTCCTAATAGAGCACAAGGTTCTGGGACAAGTGGTGGTGCACAAATGAGATGGGGAGCAAGTGTTAGAGAATCATAACCAACACCACCAATAGCCCCAAGTTTATATAAGTCATCCAAAGCACGTCAAAAGAGTGTTTGGAGTTATTTCACTGGAGGTAATGTGAATGAGAGAATGAGGCGTCTAATTAGCAAGTTCTTTATCTTTGAAAATGTCCCTGCTGAGAAGGTATCATCACATCATTTCAAAAATATGGTATTGGGATGTCAACAGACCGGTGTTGGAGTACAACCTCACACTCCCTATGACGTAAGAAACAAATATTTGGAAATGGAGTATAAAGACATTGGCGAGTATGTTAACAAGTTGAGGTCAAAGTGGGAAACTAGTGGTTGCACAATCATGTATGACGGATGGACTGGCCCGACCAGATTGTCTATCATAAACTTCATGGTATACTATCATAAACTTCATGGTATACTCCAAGGGAAAGACAATTTTTTTGAAGTCTGTTGATGCTTCAGACCATATAAAGAACTACAAGTATATTTACAAATTATTGAGGGATGTAATCATGGAGGTGGGAGAGCATAATGTTGTCCAAGTCGTGACCGACAACGGTCTGCATTTGTCAAAGCTGGAAAAATGTTAATGAAGCATCATAATGTGTTTTGGACATATGTGCAGCACATTGTATTGATCTCATGTTTGAGGCAATGAGGAAGAGAGAGAATATTGCTACTGTCGTAAAAAGAGCTAGAACGATCACAAATTATATTTACAATCACGGTCGGTTGTTGGCAAAGATGCGTGAATTTTGCAAAGGAGAAATTATTCGTCCAGTTACCACTCGATTCGCCACCAACTATTTGCATTAGACAGCCTACTTAAGAAGAAAGCAGGGTTGAATCAACTATTCACTAGTGACGATTGGGCCAACCACAATTTCAGCCACTCAAATGCAGGTCGTATGGTGGAAAGTATAGTGCTTGATCATGCTTTTTGGACTCAATCAGAACATGTGTGCCAAGTGTTTGAACCTCTTTACAAAGTTTTACGGATCGTTGACACATAAGTGTATCCTACTATGGGGGTAATATATGAGTTGATGCGTGTAGTGAATGATGACTTGGAAAGAAAACATGGTGCAAGGTGGGTCATAAAGATAATTGATGACCAATGGCATAAAACATTATACCACGATTTGCATGCAGCAGGTATAAATTATGTGATAATTTGCAATTCATTTCTTTAGTTGCATAAGTATTATTTCTCTTATTAGAGTATGTGTTTCTTTGAACAGCATATTATTTGAATCCTCGATACCAATACAGACCCGGTGTTGGAGATGATGGTACCCTTATACGTGCTGTACATAATGTATACTCTAAATTAGACCCTGCATCACCAGCAAATGGCCAATTTGGAAATGAGGTACACAATTACTTAAATTATAATAATTACATTATTGGATTAAACTAACACGATTTATTAAATTCAGCTCACATGGTTTAAAGATGCAAGAAGAACTTTTGGAGAACCAACATCAGTTGCTGCTCAAACAAAAATGTCTCCTAGTGAGTGTAAACATATTTCACTATCAGTTTATAATAGAATTTGTTGGAGTTATTAGGCTTATCAACATTGTTTTTCATTATAGCTGAATGGTGGATCATGTATGGGACTGATGCACCAACTATGAGAAAGTTAGCAATCAAAGTATTATCACAAACAGCTTCCTCATTTGCTTGTGAAAGAAATTGGAATACATTTGCACTCATACACACAAAGCAAAGAAATAGGTTGGCTCATAGTAGGTTGGAAAAATTAGTTTATTGCTACTACAACGTGAAGCTTCAAATTCGAGATAAGGAAGCAGAAATAGATCATGTCGACCGTGGTGACCCACTAGATGTGTTTGATATTGTTGTTGAAGATGATGATACAGAGGGTAACCAACTTTATCAATGGATTAAACCTCTTCATTTAGATGATGATGAAGGCAACCCAGCTCCTAGAGTTATTAAAGAAGCACATAATGAAGGGATAAATGTAGAAAGAGTATTAGAGGAGGAGGTGGGATCTAGCAGCGCTGACTTTTTGGAAGAACTTTTGCACTCAAGACCAAGAAACACTGGAATTCCACCTTTTTCCAATCCTACACAACCACAAGATTATGCTGATAATAATGATAGCTCTAGTACAAGATCAGGAGACTCACCTACCACCGGAGGTGGGAATAATGAAGGATATAGTGGAGCTGGAAGTAGTGGTGGATATGGAAACTATGTTAGACCACCTCCCGGATTTATGAGCCCCTTCACTGGTGAGGCAAACTTCACGCATGCAACACAGGATGAGGACCATGGCAGTAGGCGGGCAGGACCAGGAATTGGTGCCATAGGGAATGACTATACTCGTAGAGAAAGAGGCAAGGGGATTTTGTCAAGTCAAGAAGAGAACTTGTTATCTATAACTTCGGACTCTGTTGGAGTGGGAAGTAGTAACTATGGTTATACTCATAACCAACCATTTCCCTACCCTTCATATCCCATTCTTGTTGGGATGGAATCGAGCGACTCATGGAAAGAATCCGAGACTCAATCTTCAAATGATTTTGCTTATGGACAACGTCAACCAATCTCGGATCCATATGGGCGGCATGTTAACAATTACATGCAAAACTATTTTGGGGATTTATCATTTGATGACTACTCTTCACAATACACTTACTCTACACATAGAGATGATGAAGATAGTGAAAAATTTGAACCTCATAGGAACTCTATGTGGTACTAAGTGACTCATGTATCTTACCATGCAATGTATAAAGTGTAAAATATTGTACTAATTCATTATATATAAATTATTATGGCGTGTTTAAACTTCTTTCATTAATTACTACATATTTTCTACACTCACAATGTTTGCCAGCTCGCTATATAATCAACTTAAATCAGTTAAATCCATCATGCAATGCATTTCCTTCCATTTTTTGTGATAAACTAATAGATAATTGACTAAATAAACATCCTGCAAAGTTTCAATAAAAATTTCCAAGTTTTTCTTACAATTTCCGTGGTTTTTATTCAATTTTTATCGATATTGATAATATCCCGATATTTTCGTCAAAATTTCAGTGTTTTTGGACTACCGATATTTCTGATATCATCAATATTTTATACCTTGGCTCTACCTCAAGACGGTCATCCCCATCGGCGCCTTCTACGCCCTTTCCTTCTGCTCCTCCCTCGTCTTCCTCCTCGTCCGTGTCTTCCGCCTCGTCGGCGCCGTCTCCATCTCCCGTAACCTCTGCTCTACCTCAAGACAGTCATCCCCATCAGCGCCCTCTACGCCTTTTCCCTTTGGTTCTCCAATTCCGCCTACATCTTCTTATCCGTCTCCTTCATCCAGATACTCAAGGCCCTCATGCCCGTCGCCGTCTACTCCATTGGCGTCGCCTTCAAGAAGGACGCAATAATATCGCGAAATATCGATATTATCTCGATATTTTGACGATAATCAAGTGGATAGGTGTAGAAATATCGGACTCTCACAAAAATGATAATATTGGCGATATTTCGCCGATATTATCGATATTTTAGACGTTGATGTGGAGGCAAAATAGGAAGCATATTGTTTAACAGTGTTTTAGGCAAAAATGTGTTTATAATATATATATTGTTGTAGTCATATTTAGAATAGGAATGTGATTGTGTAAATCCTTGGGAATCTGGGAATGTATCTTATATTCCTATTAGGACTAGATTACCTATTAAATGTTGTAATCCTAAAGGGAAAGGTCTTACCCTTTCTACTACTATAAATAAAGGCACAATAGAGTGAATCAAACACACCTCACAATTAAATCAATCTCTCTTCTCCCTAAAGCTTGCCACACCCCTCTCTCTCTCTAACCCTACATCGCTCAATCAAATAGGCCTACAACATATATATATATATATATATATATATATATATATATATTTTTGCTTTCATATCGTAATCTTTTTACTGTTCTTTGTGTATAATTGTGTCACTTATACGTTATAACGTGACAAAAGTTGTTTCGCATCCAATATATCAATATATATTAAAAATAAATATTTAAAGAAGGCTGGAACCCAGTCGAAGCTGGGGGGCTAGGCCCTCACACCCATATTATATTACTTGAAGAAAAAGAAACATACAATGGGAGAACATAGTACCAAATTCTAGATGATCAAAAGCAAAATCATATACAACCACTCAAAGCAATCAACATGGGCATCACATATTGAACCAAAAAGGATGGCGCCCCATGCACTGCATATGAGACTATATAATTGAAAAGAAGGAAATTACATCAACAAAAAAAAAATGAAGTTAGTGGGTGAGAAAGCAAAAGTGTGGACGACGAAATCTTTGCTCCATATTGTATGTCATCTAAAAAGAAAAATAAAATGTTGGTGATGATGAATGAAGAATAAAATTTAGAAACGAGATTCGCATTTTGAATATTTCATAGTTTATACTGAATTAGGCAACTGTAAATTCAAACAAGTTAGAAAACGCACCTTCAATAATTTGAATGTTTGGGATGTGAGCAATCTTAGGCCAGTCCTCACCTGTTTCTTTCTAGCATCTTTCGGGCAATCCCAAATTTGCAATGTATTTAAACAAGGGAATCCACAAATCCCTTCTGGCAGCGATGCCAAATTATAGCAATTACTAATTCGAAGTTGTTGCAGTGACGTGAGATTGCTTATTTCTTTTGGTAGTGATGCCAAGTTCGGGCACTTTCCAATGGAAAACGATTGAAGTGATGTGAGGTTGCCCATCTATTCCGACGTTATACATTCTAAATCTTCAATTCCATCAAGTGACAAATGCGTTAATTTGGAGAGATGAGGGGAAGAAGAAGAGGCAGAAACATCAACATCAACACTAACATCATGTGTAATATCAGATGCTCCTCTAACAAACAAGGAATGAACAACCCTCGAGCTGGGTCTACTGAGATATAATGTATGCACATTCGAATACAGAGGCATGGAAGTTAGATTAGGACAATAAAAGATGCTCAATGTAGAAAGACAGGGAAATGAAGGCAACGGGAACGGCAAATTTTCCGTTGATGAAGAAGAAGCACAGTTATGAGTGTGCGCCCTCCACCATCCATTCAGAACAGGGCAATTTTCTATGCGGAGTTTCTCCAGGGAGGGAAAGAATGACGTCCTCACCATCTCATCACTCATACTATTACTGCTCTCATTGTCTGATATGTACTCCAACTTCGTCAACCTTTCAAGTTTAAGAGACTTAAGGAATGGGAAATGATCCAAGGGTGGAAGATGTTGGCATCTCTCACAGGAAGCCAACGTGAGATTAACAATATTAATGAGAGAAGAAAACCAACTCGCAAACCTCACACCACCATAATACCGCACGGTCAACCCCTTTAGATTAGAATGGGGTTGCAATACTTCCATTGACATTATAATATCCTCCTCATCAACTGCGTTTACATCTTCTCTTTTTTTCCAATACAAACCCAACGAACAGAGATGTTGCTTTTCCTTCAGAAGTGCACCACCATTTGATTCTGACTTCACATCTTTCTTGTGGCCCAAATTTCTAATAACTAACTTTCTCCTTAATTCCTTAAGCCTCCCCAGTTCACCAAGACCAGCACTGTCCCTCAACAAGGAATTGCTTTTGCTTAAAACAAATCTATCCAATGTGCAAAGACCATTCAACTCACCAAGTCCACGTGGCATTCGAGTCAAATGAGAACAGCCTTCCAAGATGAGATGCTTTAAGTTGATCATTTTTTTAATGTCTCTAGGCAATTCCACAAGCTTCCGACATCTTGTGAGATCTAGTGTTTCCAAATTCGAAAGTCCAACTATCCAATTTGGAAGTCTTTCGATGGGATTATCACTAAGATCAAGATATCTCAAATGTTTCACTTTTTTAAGACAATTAGGTAATGTTGTAATTCCTAATGTATTAAGACTCAACATACGTAATGACTTAAAATTTGAAACAATTGTAGCACAAAACGAATTACATAATGACCCATCTCTATCAATCCAATACTTTTGGCAAGGAAAAAGAAAAGTTCGCATCTTATTTGCTTTTAGCAACAAAGTTGGCACTTCCCATTCCAACAAATGAATATTAAAATTGAAAGATACGTGACAAAGTTTTTCATGAAAATTCTTTTGGTTCATATCAACTACGGCGCTTCCGACCCCTGACACTAAGATTGCAAGTTCATTCATGAGATCGTGCATTTTACAAGTTATTATTATACCAGACTCATGTGTTTTTTCTTCTTGAAAAAATGATCTGCGCAACAATTCCTTGTAATATTCAAACGCAACATCCTCCAAACACTCGTTTTCGTCAGATGACTTAATGAACCCTTGCGCCACCCAAAGTTTAATCAATCTCTGTACGTAGATCTCATAATCAGGTGGGAACAAGCTACAATAAGCAAAACAATGCTTCAAATGTGATGGGAGCACATCATAACTCAATTTAAGTGTTGGTAAAATTTCATTTTCTTTCTGGCTTATTTTTGAAAGTTTCTTTTCTTTGAAATTCAACCATTCTCTTTCGTGATGTTTGGTGCGCAACATCCCACCTATCGTCCTTATAGCGAGTGGAACTCCCTGACATTTTCTTGCAACCTCCATCCCAACTTCCTTAATTATTGAATTCTCTAGCTCTTTTCCATCTATAAAAGCCATTTCCTTAAATAAAGACCAACTTTGCTTTTCATCCAAGCCCCTTAAGGTGTATGGTTTAGCTGTGTCTGATGTCGTCGCAACGATTTCACTACGAGTGGTTATTAGGATTCTACTACCTTTTCCACCACCCATTAACAAGTACTTCAAGCTAAGCCATTTCTCTCGCTCCTCATTCCACACATCATCCAGCACAAGTAGGTACTTCTTCCCATCTACTTTTCTCCTAAGTTCATTTTGCAACTGCTCTATCCCATTATGTTCGGATTGAAGGATTTTCTTAACAACTATATCCAACTCAAATACATTAGAGACACATGACCATATTTTCAAATCAAAATGATTTTGAATCATCTCATCATCGAATATGAGTTGGGCAAGTGCAGTTTTCCCCAATCCTCCAATTCCAATTATGGAAATAGTTGACACATTCTCAGTTGAGATGGGATCCAACAAGAGTTGGATAATTGCCTTTTTATCTTTATCTCTCCCTATAATAATATTTTCTTTAGGGACAAATGAGTGAGTGACCCTCTCTCTCCTTTTAAATCGTGTATCTTCACGATCTACTTCTAAGTGAAAGGTTCTACGAGATGCAACCTCACGAAGCCTCTCATTAATATCTTTTATCTTATGACCCATCTTTAGCCCAAAAACAAGTTGATTTGAGCTAGAAAAGAAAAGGCCCACCTGTAAGAATTTGAGGAGACATAATCATTATTTCGATAAAATGGTATTAATTAAGTTAATAGAGTTTTGTAACGGTAGGTTATATAAAACATTCTACAATAAAACTGTATTAATTAAGTTAATAGAGTTTTGTAATGGTAGGTTATATGAAACATTCAAAACAATAATGTAGAAGATTTATGACTTTGGATCCAGTTTGACTCAAACCATATTAGTTTTCATTTTTTTTATTTTATAAAATCTCTTGATTTTGAAAATTCCTTAATTTATGGACTTCAAATTTTATAATAAATTATTCCTTAAAAGGTATAAAAGACACAATAAATAGTAAAATTTGAAACCAACAGAACATTAATCTACTAAAAATCAAGTGGTACATTCGAAACACATAAAAACAATGTACACATATAATTGGGTGCTCATAGACACGAATCCATATAATTGTTATATATATATATATATATATATATATATATATGAGTACATTTTGCATAGAAATGTATCAATGAGACTAAAAAATGCATTCAACTCAGACAAAAAAAAAAAAAACAATTGCAATTTGTTCCCATTACATTGATACGGATGATATAATAGTAGTTACTTGTTAAAAGAATGTACCCATACAATTGCCATATATAATTATGGTACAATTCCAACATCCTCCCAAAAGAAAATTGTTTTAATATGTGTGTACCCCTATTTTTTTTTATAAAAAGAATGTACCTGTATAATTAGATGAGTACAATTATATATAAGTTTCAAAAGAATGTACTCATTTTGATTGAAAAAAAAAGAGTATCCATATGCGCTCTAGCAAATATAATATACTCATGATTAGGATAAAATATGGAGTAAATTCAGCCATAAGAAATTCATATTTAAATTTCAAATTAAAAGGATTCTAGGGATATCAAGCCGCAATAAAATTCCTTAAATTGTGTAAATAATCATTTATCCTAAACAGAAATGACATAAAGGGAAATGAATAAATGAGTTTTTTAAAATTAAAAAAGAAAAAGGAAAATCTGACATGAAATTTGATTAATTTTGAGAATTTGATGTGGACATAAGTAAAAGGACTTCAATAAAAAATTTAAAACCAATAATATTTCAATAAAAAACATTTGTGACTAGGAACCGATCCTAATTATTCCTATCTTTTATCTTATGACCCATCTTTTACCCCCAAAAGACATTGATTTGAGATAGAAAAGAAAAGGTTCATGTAAGAATTTGAGTAGAAAATCATTATTTCGATAGAGCTATATTAATTAATTAAGTTAACAAAGTTTTGTAACGGTGAGTTATATACGAAACATTCAAAATAAAAATGTAGAGGACTTGTTATAGTTAATTATGACTTATTGAGAGACATATTGTATTCCTAATAGGTGGATATAGGCTATGTGACTATAAAAGGTTCTACGAAATTCAGCGGCTCTAAGCTTCTTGATTTGAGCTAGGGAACAAGAGGCGTACCTTTTTTAACAACTTTGTATTGCCACGCATAACTTGTCTTCGCTGAACTTCAGTATTAAACTCATCGAGCACATCATCGGCTTCATAAACTGCATCTTCTACGCTTTGGAGCCACAATTTAACTTCATTATTGTTGGCTTGCTTTTGCTCAGCGTCAAGAAGAACAATTTGGAATCCAACAACTGTCTCCTTAAGCTTCTGGAGCTCATCTTTGACACCCCAAACCAATCCAATCTCTTGGAAAGCAAGGGAGCCTAGCCTCTGGGTGATCCGTCCTGCAATGTTGAAGAGAACTCCTTCCGCCATTTCTTGGATTCAAGACAAGCAAAAACACATGCAATGTCAATTAAACGAGAATATGGTTTTGCGTAGTGAAAAATGTATCCTCCTTCTCGTCTTTATATGCCCTTCTCATCTGACAATCCGTGCACCATTCCATGTATAAAATATAAACAAATACTTGTAAATATGTACTGCTCTTCTATGTAATTGAAAGTTTGACTTTTGGAGCCATTTGCAATTTTATAGCTATCTTCAGTACTAATATTTGGATTTGGATCCCATCTGAATTCAAATTGTGCGGATCTTAGAGATTTTTGTATTTTAGCCGTTCATGGTATATCGTGCGGTTAGAAATTATTTTAAATTAAAATTAAACATAAATAATATCTAATTAAAACTGATCGTACTATCTACAATAAACAATTAGAATGTAAAAACCCCTAAAATTCCCCAAAATAAAATCCGTAAAGCATCCTCAGCCCTAATATTTCATCTATTCTCACAAATTATAGCCGTTGGTTCACTTTCCTTTTCATTTCGTCCACTTTTGTGTTCCCACGACCACGTGGCCACCCCATAAATCCAGCTCCCCCGTGTTCTCTCTCCCACTCCCGGGGGGCCCACACGCTACTATAAAATCAAAACAATGACTTGTGAATATATTACTGCTGGTCTTTATAATTGAAAGTTGACTTTTAATGCCAACTGGGTCCTTCACATTGTGTTGGTATTTTTCAATTCCATTTTTCGAACTTTGGTTCCCGTAGAAAATTAAAATTTAGACCAAATTAGATTAACTATCGTCGTGGTCATAAGATACTTGCACGATGGCTCATGGGATAAAAAAAATTAGTATTAAACTCGTATGATCAAGACTGTTAACAAATTTAATCTAGACGTAAGTTTCTATTAAAGATTTGTTAAAATGTTGGGTAGAATTGTATTTTCATGTCCACACCAACCAAAGAAACATTTTACCATTGCTAATAAACTACACCCAAGGTCGTCTCTAACATTTTAAGGGCCATGTGCGAATTTATTAAAAAAACCCTCTTTATTTGAAAAAGATAAACTTTGTTCGACAATATATTCATAAGGAGTTCAATAATCAATATTCAAACTTAATTAAAATCAGCATCTCATTCTTACTAATTGAATAATTTTTCAATTACCATGAAATCATGATTTAGGGTTTATTCACGAAAAAATAGAGCAAGATAAGGAAATATGCTTGTTTTTGTTGAAGAAAATAACACACAAGTTAGTTTTTGTTAAAAAAAAAAAAAGTGGAAGACGGTTAATACAAGTAATACACATATGATAGAGAAAAGTGAAAATTTAATATATTAAATATAAGCTTTACTTAATCAATTGTAGTATAGATAAAATCACATCTTGTTGATTTTTCTTTTCAGTTAAGAACTTTCTTATTAGAAAATTTATATGTAATATTTAGGAGAATCCAAAAATTTGAGCCCCGTATCATTGCACTTTTTATACACCCCTAACGCCTCCTCTAGCTACACCCTGACATCTTTAACTGATCGACAACGTGAACTCCGGTACCATCGACCGTCCCCGCTTTTCCCAATCTTTTCCTCTGTCTCCCTCTCTTTCTCCTCTGTCTCCTCGGTTCCCTCCCTCATCTTCTCATCCTGCTCATGGCAGTCCCTGAATACAGATCAGGATTCAATTCTGCAAACAAATTAGCCCTTTCGATCTCCTTTCTGCTGTTTTGCAATGAAAGCTTACTGAGCTTTGTTGTAGTGCCATGCCAAGGATTTGGTTTTCCCCAAAATTTGGCTGACTAAAATCTGCAGAATTTCCGATGCTTTTACACATTTGGTCCGATAATGCTCAAACTTCTTGCAATCAAGTCTAAGTTTCGCTTCAAAATAATCAAAAACAAAAGACCCAAAAAGCACCAAATGTATTAAAAAGTTAGGACTAAAGAAACAGAAAATCTCGCTGCCAAATCGACAAAGAACCCAAAAAACTCGCTGCCAAGTCGACGATGAAGCACGTGGCCACCCCATAAATCCAGCCCTGCCCTCCCCATGTTCTCTCTCCTACCTTCGGGATAAAATTTGTGTGGAATTTGATTTGGCACTGAATTTTATTAAGTAGCATCATAATCTCCGCACAAGTTTTTCTCATTCCGAACCCACATGCTATTATAAAATGTAGAGGAGATTCCTCCTTATCTTATGTAACGGACAAAAAAGAACGATGCCTTTTGTTCCCAAATAGTTTTAGGTGAGGTTCGGAAAAGTTCCTCCTAGGCCTTTAGATATGTGTGTATTCTATGTAAGAACGCATACTTAAATGAAAAATTAGTTCTTTGTATGAACTTCTCTTGTTGAGTAAATATCCTTGCTTGAGTCATTCTTAATTTGTAACGATCCTAATTAGAGTAAAGCCTTTAGTTTCTCTAGGTTCAATCACAACACGAGCCTGAGCACCATCTGAGAACTCAACAAGGGACACTTGAGAGTGGGGTGTGAACCCATGTTCTCCAAACAACAAAAATACCACAATTTCGTCATGCTCCAACTTCATCATTTTTGAGCCAAAGGAGAAAGCTAAGGGCAGCAAGGAGATTGCATATAGCGGCCTCAATCCTTTTGACAAAAAGCACCTGATAAGGGTGAAGCCTGGATTTAGGGTGAAGAATTCCTAATCCTGTGGCCAACAGCAGTGGTAGACAAGTAAGATGCACTGCAGGATATATGGGGTGTAGCTGCAGAACCAAGAATTGAGGGTGCACCTTGAAATGGTTCTCTTGGAACTTAAAACAGAGCATCAACTTTGTAGCTGTAGTCAAAGCATCTCCCGGATCCCATACAGGCCAAAGGTCAAGGCTGGAAAAAAATCCCAAAAATCCCAAACCAAACCGAAAAAATCCCGATCCCAAACCAAAAAAATCCCAAACCAAAATTCCCGAAATTTTCGGTATGGGATTCGGTTTTGCATCTCCATTTTTTCGGTATTACCATACCGAACCGAAAATAAATATTATATTATATATATATATATTATTTTTTAATTATAAGAAAATTATTTCAACCGTTCATTGTTTTGGATTTAATCTATGCCGTTCGTTTGTTTTTAGGTCTGATCTCCATTCTCACATTTCACTTCCGTGTTATTCCATCGAACTCGAACGCAGCCCTTGAGCCTCCCTCACCGAGCGCTCATCTCCAGCCCTTAACCCTCTCTGTGTCGAATTCCGGCCAGTCACCAGCCCACCACTACACCATACTATCGTCTCTGACTCTC